TTCACCTTCAATATCGTCGAAAGTGCTGTTGTCAGACTTGTCCGCCACTGATTCATTGAAATCAACCGACCGGTTTTCACTGCCATGTTCTTGCTTGACATCTGCACTTCCTTCACCAAGCCACGCATCTGTCTTGTTGGAAGCGGTTTCTGAACTGTTGGAATCAAGCTCGGTGCTGCTGTCATTCTTTTCCAGACCCGCATCTTCCACGTGCACCTCACTAACATTAGTGTCTGGCAATTCTGCGTCAGAAGAATTGACATCAAGGGATTCAGTGGCCAGCCAACTCTGGTTTTCACCTTCAATATCGTCGAAAGTGCTGTTGTCCGACTTGTCCGTCAAAGATTCATTGAAAGCAATGGACTGGTTTTCGCTGCCATCCGTACTCCTCCCTTCATCAAACCAAGCTCCTAACTGGTTGGAAACATTCTCCGAACCATTGAAGTCAAGCTCGGTGCTGCTTGCATTCCCGTCAATATCTATGTCTTCAACATGCACTTGACTAGCATTGCTAACTTCAATGGCATCGAGACGGCTGTTGTCAGACTTGTCTGCCAAAGATTCATTCAATTCAACAGAGCTGTTTCCGTAGCTTTGTTTGTTGTCTACATGCGTGCTCCCTGTGTCAAGCCAAACATCTGTTTTGCTGGAACCGTTCTCAGAACTGTTGCTATCAAGCTCAGTGCTGCTGTCCTTCCCTACCAGACCTGAATCCTTCACATGCACCTGACTAAAATGGGCTTCTGCGTCGGAAGAATTGACATCAAGGGATTGGTTGGCAAGCAAACTCTCGTTTCCACCTTCAATATCGTCAAAAGTGCTGTTGTCAGACTTGTCCACTGCAGATTCATTCAAACCAGAAGTGCGATTTCCGCTGGCTTCTTTCTTGTCCAGATCTGCAATCCCTTCATCAAGCCAAACATCTCTCTCCGCGGAACCATTCTGCGAACTGTTGAAAACAATCTCACCACTGCTATCACTTCCATCCAGACCCGTATCCTCCAAAGGCGCTTGACTGCCATTGGTCTCTGGCAGGCTTTCATCTGAAGAATTGATTGGAAGGGAACTGTCGCCAAACAAACTCTGGTTCTGAGCTTCAACATAGGAAGAGCTGCCGTTGTCAGACTTGTCAAGAACAGATTCATTGACATCAGCTGAGCTATGGACGGCAATTCTCTCACTTAGATCCACAGACGTGTTTGTCAGTTTTCCTCCCACATCACCCATGGCTGGCAGCCCATAAGACAATATTTCGGTCTCGTTGGAGACGTTTGCGAAGGAAAGGTTGAAATCAAGGCCGGTGCTGCTGTCATTCACGTCAAGGTCAATGTCTGCCTGACGCAGCTCCAAGAAGCTCTCGGTGAGCACACTTGTGTTTCCATGCTGTTGAACAGCCGCAACGCTGGCATTGTCAGAAAGATTTAGATCTGCAGAGCGATTTGCAGTGCTTTCTGCTTCATCAACAAGCCAAATTCCGTCAGACCATGAGTCTGTCTCGCTGGAGTCAAAGTCGGTGCTTCCGTTTGAATCAATGCCAAGGCTGTCCCTCTGCTTCAGCTCACTACGATTACTATTGGCCTCTTGCAAAGCCTCGTCTGAATAGGAATCGCTCATGGCAAAGGAGATGTTCGCAATGAATGCGGTGCTTCCGTTGCCATCCTCCACCGTTTCAAGTGGCCTTCCAGACCAAGTATCTGTCTCGTTGACAGGGTCTTCAGTGGAAACGTTGGAGTCAAGCTCGAGATCACTGTCATTGCCATCG